TTGAAGTCAAAGAAAAGTTATTTTTCAATTGTAAGATTTATTATCCAAATAGAATTCTTCCCTTTCAAAAATAGAATTAATGTACGACAATGGTTATATCTAATTAACAGATTAAATATCCAATTTATTATAAAATAATTCCTAAATGGTTTTGATTTATATATATGGATAGACATTACTTTTTTCCTATAAAGATTATTCTACATCAACATTTATTATGCGAAATGAGTTAGGATTTTTTGACCTTTCCTTTATATTAAATTATCGATCATAGGATTAATATGTAAAAGACAAAATTGCTTATGTCAAGAAAATTTTGAAATATTTTTTAAGATAACAATCACTCAATTACTTCTTTTGTTTCGAATAAAAACTTTTTTCCTAATGTATTCCTAATTTTTTCAAAAATCGAATATCATAAGCTTGCATATATTGAAGAATAGTTGATGAAAATTTATCATAGAATGATTTAAAATTTTTTTGAAGTATTCACAATATACGATACGATCAATTATCGGAGATACACTCTGATGTGCTATCAACTTTTTTTCTTCTGATTTTGTGATTAATAAAAATAAAACTTGTTTACAATATCTATAAACCCATGATTTATTTTTTTGAAAATTTTTTGTTTTAAAATAATTTCATACAAATGGTAATAAAAGCAATGTTTTTTTTTTATAAATATAATATAGGTATCATCTCTTTGCCGAAATTCTCCTTAATTGTTACTCACAAATCTATGTAATACCTCGAAATTAAATAACTAAGTTAATAACTCGATCATAGTTTTTGTATTTAGTTCCGTAGAGATTTTGCTAGAATTAGAATGCTAAAATAAATATTGCTCTCGTGATGTTGAGAAGAATAGAAACGGGCATATGAATGTTAAGATTATGCATACATCTCATTTGAATATGCATGTAAATCAATTTTTGATTACTCGGAACTTTGATGAATGACTATTGTCACGAGAGTAAATATTCGGAAAGCAACTATTCTAAATTCATATAGAACATACTGGCCATTTAATAATATTTGGTGACCATTTAAAAATTTTAGAATCAACAATTGTCCATGTCCATGAACTTTCATCTTCTCGTCGAACATTTCCAATTAATTTTTTTGTACAAGTTCTAAAGAAATTAATATTAATTAAATAAGAAATCTTATGTATTTTAATTACTCTGGTGTAAGACCACATACAGCTGGATAGATAACATTATTTTCTTCTGTTAAATTTTCACTTTTTAATGGTGTTCGATACCATGTTAAACCAGCGCGTGGCTAAAGAAAAAATAAATCATTTTTTTTTTTCTATCTTTTATAAATAAAATTATGCATACAAGACATTGTTGTGGAAGTGTTTGCATACAACGACCTGTTGTTGAATCTATACAACAACCAGACATTGTTTCTAATCTTGCTTGTTTTTCATATCGATTATTAACTTCATCATGTCGACGTATACATGGAGTATATTTAGCACCTAAACGAATTAAATCAGCTGGATGTGGACCAAACCATATATTCATTGTTAAATCATATCGTTGTTGACTAAAAATTGAAGTATTATTCTAAGAGAAAAACGAAAAAAAAAATTATATTTTTCTTTTTATTTTATTTGTTCTTCTAAAAAAAAAACACAAAATATAAAACAAATAAATATTTACAGATTGTATTGATGTTAATGGAGCATAACCATATACAATTAATGAAACAATACAAACAAGAATTTGTACAAATGTTACCCAATATGTAAAATAAGGACGATATGAATGTTGAATTTCAACTAATCTTTTTGATTGATGATGTTTACAAGACAAATGAGAAATGATTTTTTTCAATGGTCGACTTTTATTGACAGCTATAAAAAAAAGAAAGGAAAAGTTTTTTATTCAATTTATGGAAAAAAAAAATTATTACTACGTGATGTTACGTTCTTTCTTGAAGTTTGAGGAAAATCATTATCAGTTTGTGTACATTGAGTACTAAATATTAAAAAAAAAATTTAACGTTTTTTTTTTTTTTTTGGTTTCTTCTCATCTATCTTTTCTTTACCAAGGACGTAGATTACCACTATCATTTTCATCGAAATCATTCCGTTCATTTGTATCTGGTTTTGTTAATATAATATTTTTTAAACATAGATCAGTTCCATTCGATTGTTCGTCTTCATCATCTTCCTATAAGTAAAATGAATAAATTTTTATTTTTTTTAAAAACTTCAATAAAAGCAAGAAGAAAAAAAAATCCATTGTTAATTTATAAAAAAAAAGCAGAAACACACACACACACACGCAACGATATTATTATTAACCTCATCATATAATGTAGATGCTCGCAGGGATTTTGCGCGTGGCATCTCGTTTACCTTTAAATAATGATTAATTATCAAAAAGAGATTAAATAAATCTTAATTTTTAAAAACTTACAACAAGTAAATTACGAACACCAGTTACAGCTCGACTCAAAATTGTGTCACGTCTTATAGTTGATCCATCGGATTCCATACTAGCTGTTGTTGGCATTTGAGATATATCAATAATAGGTCTTCAAAATAGATAAAATTTTAAGAATTATTTAATTAAAATTCGTTTCTTTTTTTCATTTTACTTTTGTTCAACATCAGTACCATGTTCATTAACAACTTCGTCTTTTAATTCTCCACCAAACATACTATTTTTACTTAAAAAATTATAACGTCTTTGTTGCCAATGATCTTTATGAAATACTGGACTAGCAGCAGCTGCTAATGTTGGACTAGCATTAACTTGCATGACACTGAAATAAAGAAAAAAAAATATTTACAAATATTTTGAAAAAGACTCAATTGTTTCAAAAAAAAAAAGAATAGTTAATTAATTAATATGTTCAATCGTAATCATTTTTTATGTATCTACCGATCATATCGATTGACTTGTTCAGATAAAGTTCGTCTCTTTCTTATAGCATCTATTGGTATATAATTTCCAGATAATTCTTTAAGAATTATATCATTTGAAGGTATTGGTGTCTGTGAAAAATGTCGTCGTTGAGGTCTGTTTATTGATGTTACACTAGTTTCTCGTTGTTGTTGTTGTTGTTGTTGTTGTTCATGAGTATCGTTTTCAGCCATTTTGCTTTGCTTGAATACACACGTTTACCTCTGTATAAAGTGTTAGTCACAAAAAAGTTACATCGAAAAATTAAGTATAGTTAGTTAATAACGATAGAAAGAAAATGTAGATAGGCAATTAATGATACCAAGAAAGAGAAGAAAAAATATTTTTTATATGAAGAAAGACCTTCGAGAGTTATAATATACTTCTATCATTTGATGACATACATCGATTACATATTTCTATGATATTTATTTTCTTTATGTTCTTCTGTAAGTAAACGTTCGTGTTTAAGAAAAATAAAGATATTAAATCGATCAGAATAGTTACATATATATAGAAATTGATCGAAAAAAAGAAACTCATCGTAAAGAAAATACTCCATTATGCATCATAGTAAACAAAACAAAAAATAAGTCTCTTTTGAAATTTCCATAATAGTAAACGATTGCTTTGAATAGGAAAAACATCACGTAGAATATCTATTTCTTTTTGAATAAGTAAACTGACGGAGAAACATTATAGAAAGAATTTTTTCTTCTCTAATATTTAGTAGCTTTCAACTACAAAGAATATAACAGATGTTTTTCTATGATAAAATAAATTAGAACTTTCTTTTTTTTTATCATCTATTTTCTAGTAAAGCTAAATAACTTTTTTTTTTTACTTCTAGAAAATGAGAAAAAAAAACCTTAAGTCGAGTTTCTCGTTCCTCATTTCTTTAAAGGCGACACATCAGTGTATACGAGCAAAAATTCAACATTATAATCTGCATATTTTTTTTCCACGTTCAATGCCAAAAATAATGGAAGAATTCTTATTAAAATTATATATATCAAACAATGTTTATCATCCTTGATGCTCGTTGTTTTTACATTTTGATAAAATAAATAATAGTATAGATTGGATAAGGGCAACTAAGCACTCATGACCCTAGCAGAGAAGCCCTGTCAACTATAATGATAGTACTAGTTTGATGCGACTGTTATTTTTCCTTGATTACTCTTACATTACAACAACATTAATACATACAAAATCTTAATATGCAGTTAACTTCTATAATCAAACAGAAGTTTCAAAAGAAAAAAAAAAGACAAAGAAACCTTTTATTACTATCATTTACTAAATATCACGTATAAATAATAGATAGAACTTTTACCTTTTTGATTCGCTTATGAGATCACTACTATTAATAATTGCAGGAGCAGATGATGAAAAATATGAATAATCTTTTTTTTTTGGCTTTTCATAATATTGTGCCATAATTTGATTTTCATCAAAATCAGAAGTCAGTAAATGATAATCAGTTGAAGATGACAATGATGATGACATATCATTATATTAATCAAATATATGAAAGCAATAAAATGAACTATTTTTAACTACCTTGTATGTACGTTTATAAATGTGAGCGAAAAAAAAAAAAACAAAATCTTATTCTTATTCTATTCTGCACTCCATGCGTGTAAATATGCAAGCAAACTCGTTACTTAGACGCGATTTTTTTTTTCTCTTCTTTTTTTTTCTTGGCCTTGTTTGCCGTCGACTATCAACAACACCATATCGGCTTTTTTTCTTTTTTGTTCGTTTATTCTTTCTAATAGATTATAATCATTACGCAGAAGGATTTCCCTTTGGACCTCAAGCGTATACATATATATATATATATGTATATGTAATATCGTTATCATGTCTTTAAAGAATCGTTCGAATCATATATTAATTATTGACTTGAAATTTTATGATAGTTTTAAAAGAAAACGACCTTCAATCAAATGCAAACTTTTAATTTGAAGGTAACTTTTACTGTTATAATACAGAAAAAAAAAAGACAAATTGAGCGTATTATGATAAATAATGATGCATGAAATAATGTGATGAAAAATGATATAAAAGAATTTACCGTTTAGTTAAATTGTACCAACCAATTGAATCATTACCAACAGTTGATGAAATTATTGATGATGATGATGGAAGAGTTTCTTTATGCTCGAGAACATTTTCAAAAGCCATATTCCATAATTGACGACTATGAGATAAGCTACTATTGAGATTTCCTGTATTAATAGGACTATTGGGTGATGATAATGATATTGAATTTTGAGGAAATGAACCTGTAGATGAATGAGCTAAATATAATTTTTTTTTTTCCTTTAAATAATTAAAATTTAAAATTTTTAAACATACATTGATGAGATGAAATAGGTCTAATATTATAAGTATCATCCGATGCCATTAGATGTATTTCAAATCATTTGAATAAAATTTAAATTCTCTTTAGATAATAATTCTCGAGTCAAAACAAATAAAATACAATTAATTGTTTAACTAAAATGATTGGATATTTTTGTGTGACAAAGAGAGACATCTTGAAAGATATTCGTTCATTTATTCCGTTTTCAAACAGATGACGCTCGAAAAATGAATATAATTATAATATATATTATACTAATTATGAATAATTTATTGTCTATAATTATTAAATTTGACTGATAGAATTATTTTGTGTAATGAACATGTTTATTATTTGTTACTTAAAAGTAAACTATTAAAATCTTATCTCCTGTATAGATTGCAATAATTTTATGATTCTAGGAAGAAGAAAGAGATTTCAATACGATGGTATCTGATATCAAACATATATATTTACACATTTTAGATAAGCTTCTTGATATGTTGAAATGTTGTAACAAAAATTTATGTTATCAATTACATCAATCTGTTTATCTTTAGAAATGTATACTTTCTTCTTGATTAATTTGATTGTTTTTTTTTTCCGCTCGTTCTCCACTTTTTACCTCTATGTAAAAAGCAAGCACAGTCATATGTGATTGTAAAAAATGTGAAAAATAAGGACTATTTTTATAATTTTCATGTCGAAATAAGCTTTTAATCAGTGATTTTTCAATTTAAATATGTTAATTTATTTAGTTACAAATGATGATTTCTTATCTTATAGTTAATCAAACATCATGGAAAACACAAAATCAAGTTGAACAAACTCTTAGCAAAGCACTTTCATTATTTGATCAGAAAGCGTTGACATAAATTTGATTCAAGAAAAACTAAAAATCCATTTCTTGATGATCAATGAATCGGTATGCAAATATTTACAAATCTACCATTGAATAATAATTCATTTACTATCGCGAAAGTTATTTGGGAATATTTTTATCGAAGATTAGTTGATATAAAAATATATAAAAAAAAAACAATATCAACTATAATCAATTGAACTAAACAAATGATCTAATCTTGTTGCTATGTTTCATTTAAACGATCCATTAACACAAACTGATATTCAATTTGGTTCATTATAATCTGTTGAAATTTTATAAATACACTATAAGAGTAATTTGAAAATGGGAAAACTAAACATCATCTATCTCATATATAACTATTAATATAATGTAAAAAGATATCAGAAGATATAGAATAAATTTGAAAGAAAATTATGAAAAGTTTATCAAAACATAAAGAAATGATGATTATATTTGATGTGAAGTATGAAATTTTGATTGTAACGAATTTATGACATGTTTTTTATCCTCTGAAACTATATAGAAATAGATTATAATGTTTTATCAAATGAATTTTTATATTAATTACGTATATTTAAATAACATCTTAGTCACTTAACACATAAGTGTAGAAAACAAATAATGAAGAAGTTTGTGTTATATATGCATGACTAAAATGTAATAGAATAACATTTATAAGTACTAAAGAGCAAAATGATTTCATTGATTTCAGTGAATAATAAATTTTTTTGACAATGAAAAATCTACATTCGTTTTGTACGTTTATCAAATGATTTTGATTAGGATTTAATGGGTATTAAATATTAACATGATCTTAACGAGTTAGTATGAAACATCAGGGTAACACGACAATTATTCTCGTGACATTTTCACTCGTAATATTGAGAAGGTTGACGATAAGAATGAGGGTGAAGATGAGAATGATATCTATATATTTAATCTCTAATTGGTTTTTGATCACTCGTACTTCTCACAAAGAGTCATAGGAAAGTAAATGTCATAGGAACACCTGTCCTTGATTCCAACAGCAAATCTTGCTAAAAGTACAGTTAATAATGTTGATCGACAATCAGTTAAATGTCGTGCCAAATACATATAGTAGTTTTGGAGACACAATTATATATCATTTTAATGAAGTTGATGAATATAATAGTATTCATTTATTAATAATTCAATCGTGTTTCGAAACGTCATCTGAAACAATATTAATCTATGTACGTAATAGAGAAGATTCTAATGAAATCAAGAGAAATCGTTTGCAATCATGTATATCTAGAAGATAATCGATTAAAAGTTGATATTGATTGTGCATGTGTTATTGAAATTAATAAAGAAAGACTCTAAACAAAGTTAACTTAATGCAACGACAGTACAATGGTCAATTATGCACACACAATTATTTCATGTTACACGAGATCAAATGATAGCAAAACATAAAATAAATCATGTGCAAATTACATATATATCTGATACTCAAGGTATAAAGAAAAGCAACAATATTTTCAAGTATTATGAGTTGAAAGAATCATATATGATGCTAAAACAGGATTGGAATAAACTATACGAATAATTTTTTTGATTCTTAATTTAAGGATAAATTTATTTTAAAACCAAAAGACAGTTTTTCTTGTCATATAGAATTAAAGAAACTTTCTCTCTATATGATCTGATAGTAAAAATAATACTTTACATTTCTGTGATATTTGATCATTCTTTAACTAAGTTCATAATCCTAAAACTCCAATAAGACCTGTTTGTTATGATATAAAACGATAGCATTACAACAAATTTCGTTTGTGTTGTGTATTCTCTTTGTTCTTCTTGTTCTCTAATGCGTAGCCATCTATATATATTAAGCAGAAATTGATCCAATTCGGTTCGTAGTATCCTAAATCAACGGCGGTAGCCGTTGGGTTTAAATTTTGAAAAATCTGAACTGATCCTATATCTGATATTAAGCTATACAAAAAGTAATGTCAGTAGAATAAAAGTAAAAATACAAAAACAAGTTCATCAAATTTTTACTAAAATAATCTTCTAGATCTGGCTCTACGTGATTTTTTGGATATTCGACTTAATTAAACGATATCTAAGCGATAAAAATGATTTCAAATCATTATACCATTCTTTAAATAAAGAAGAGTATAAAAAAAAAACATTCGATAAATAAATTCAACGAATGCAATTGAATGTGAATAGCCAGGATGATTATTTTGAACATTTAATGAAATAAAGACTTGATGAACTCGTTTCTGTAGTTCGTTTTTTTGTTCTACTGCCATTACCTGTTGTATACCTTAATATGTAGAGATGGCTACTCATTAGAGAAGGCATGAGAAAAACAAAGCAAAGAGAATATCGAAAAGAGTATGTACAATGAAAGCAAAATGTAATTTAATATTATGATCATATATCAAAACAAGCAGTTCTTACCGAAATTTGATGATTATAATATTAGGTGAAGAATGATCAAATCTCACAGAAATGTCAAACATTGCTTTTATTATCAGATCATATTGAAAGAAAATTTCTTTCAGATTTTTCTAAAGAATTTAAATACTTCTGCTACTATTTCTAGTACAATCTAAATATTTGTAAAATATGCTGAATATGTTCTCGAATCTTTTTGAAGATGAGTAAATCATAGATAAAATATTTTAATAATGATGATTTCAGAATAATATTCATTTATTCGAGATGAACTTTCTTCTTGTCAAAAATATCTCTTTAAATGAGATTCACAACAATGTCAGAAAACTTTTCGACTTTTTCTCACAAAAATTTCATCATTATCTATTATGAAAAAATTTAATAAGATATATTTATCTGGTGTCTCATTGTTAGCAATCATATTATCATTATTGAGATTTTCCTATCTTTCATGTCCTGTTTTTCTCTAATGATTTATCTATAAAGATTTCTTTACATCTACTATCGAGTAAATTAATCGAAATTTAAATTCTCAATCTAATTATATTGTATTATTCTGAGAAGTTTTTGCAGCGATTTCGTGAAAGCAACTCTTTTAAATTAGACACTCGAGTTTGGAAGAAAGCATTATTTATCTATTCAAAATTTGTATAAAAAATAAAAATTTAATTTTGATTCTTCCCTGTCGAATGTCCATTGGCGTTGACATGAGCAGAAATATCGTTGACAAAAAAAATTCAAACCATGTGATCTACAACTCACTTTATATTAATTATAGAGAACTTTATAAACTATCATTTGCTAAAAAAACAAAAATCTTATTTTGTTTCCTAGACTTGTCTATGAAAAACATGATGTACAAAATCAATAAGTCTCAAAAGAATAAAACTATCCTTAAAAGTATTTTCTATTTTGTAGACAAAATCTATCTCAAATACGTGCTTTATGATATGTATTGACGAAAACGTTGACTTGTGAATCAAATGCACATCACAATTTTGCCAATAGCTTGGCCGATATGATATACTAAACCTTTGAATGAAACCGACAGCAACAATCGGCGAATAAAAAGAAAAATGACAAACATCATGTAGATTTTTTTGTAAACCTTATCACGTTAGAAATCGAACACAAATATTGATCATCTATAAAAAAGCATTCATGGATTATATTATTACTTAGTGACTAAAAAGTTATATTTAAAAACGAATTATGCGTAAAAATACATGTGCTGTTAAAAATATATATCTATATCTTTTACTTTTCTTTAATGAAATTAAAGTCAAATCAAAAATAAATGCACATACTGCTCTTGTCTACTCAAAACTATCGTTGTAGTGAAGAAAACTACGACTTAATAAATTGTTCTATTCTCTTGTTTCTTTCTATAATCATTGGTTTGATCAAAGTATTCCCGCATAAAATAAAATGCATTTGATGGATCATTTTATTAGTGACTCATCTAAAATCTCTATTGAGGATAAAGATCTTATAAACAATCCTATTATTCGAAATATTTCACATTTTGTTTCGTAACAAGTAATGGATGATTATTTTTTTTAGTAGAAAGTACATATACAGTTCCTTGCTCTTGATATACTTTTTGCATTAAGACTGTTGCTGAATAAGTTGTCCATGGTGATGCAATAAAAATTGGAGCTTGATAAGCTATTTCTTGTTCTAAAACATCAAATAAGTAACTATCTAAGACAAAATTTACATGAGGTAATAAGTGTTGTGAAGTAGTAAATACTATTGGAAGATT